GATAGATAGATATATAACAAGACCAGATTGATAAGAATATATATATATATATATATATATATATATATATATATATATATATATATATATATATATATATATATATATATATATATAGTTAAATTCCAGATCAGTTCTGTGGACAAGACAGAATTGATCTTCGGGGAAAAATCCTTAATATAAAGGTAATTTACATTAACCAGAAAAAAATGCTGAGACACAAGTGTCTATCTTTTTAAATTTGGATTTTTTAATTTAACTATAACAACAAAAACATTTCGATTTCATTTTTACCTTGATGAAATCGGAAAACGAAACGCGTCGGCAAAGTCTAAGATTTTTTTTCCAATTGTCATTTTATACCATATAGATAGATAGATAGATAGATAGATAGATAGATAGATAGATATAAAGAAAAATAAACATAAAGAGTAAAAAGTGATAGATTTGATAGATAAGAAGAAAACGATAAACAGAAGAAGTGGAAAATAGATGGACAAACAGAAAGATAGAGAGATAGAGTGAACGATAGAGAGACAGAGCAGAAGAAAAAGAGATAGAAGAAGAGATAGATTGATCAACAAGAAGAAGACTAGATTGATAAAAAGAATAATAGAAGATATATATATATATATATATATACAGAGAGAGAGAGAGAGAGAGTAAACGAAGAGATAGATAGATAGATGAACAGAAAGAGATAGATAAGAAGAAGAATATATATATATATATATATATATATATATATATATATATACGAGGAAAATATATGCTTAATATATAGTAATAAAAAAGAAACCTAAAATAACATATTTTGTTCGCAATGCTTTGCTAAGTACTTAAAAATAATGTACCCTAGGATAGAAAAAGCACTTGCCGATTAGTCTATTGTAATAAAAGAAAGAAAGAAAAGAAAATAAATAAATAAATAAATAAAGAACGAAAGAAAGAAAGAAAGAAAGAAAGAACGAAAGAAAGAAAGAACGAAAGAAAGAAAGAAAGAAAGAAAGAAAGAAAGAAAGAAAGAAAGAAAGAAAGAAAGAAAGAAAAAAAAGGAAGAAAGAAAAGATCCAATGTTTTGATGGTAGCGAAACGGATATCTGCACAGGAAGTGGAATCGGAGACAGGATTTCACATTTCCGGTCTAGTCTGTCGCAATCCCTTTCGCCTTGGGTAATGCAGGAATACGTCTCTTCTTGTCTCTCCACAAACAAGCTATAACTTAATTACCAAGAAAGACTGCGATATCTACCATTGGCTGGCACCCACTTGGGGGCCGAAGACGTAATTTAAAACTAGCTTGACGAAGGACAGGAACTATCAGGTTTTTTTTTGTTTTAGACACACCAACTATTGCCCTGGCTGCAGTACATATGGTGGAAAACGTTACTGGGCCCGTGACCTGTGTAATGTTTTTGGAATGCAAAGAAGGGAGAGGAAAAAGCAATTAAGTCTAATATAGCCCTCAATCTCGGTCACTTCAACGTGGGGTAATGATTAACAAGCTTCTCTCGCTAAATTATGACTGAGTAGTGAGTTCGATTCTCACTGGGTGTTTTATACATTCGGTTTTACACTACATATTAGCTACGGTTAATAAATCTCTAATGTAAAATCTAGTCTCTTACAACAAATCAGTTCGCCCCCGATGAGGATAGACATCATGAAGAGAAATGGTTGTTTAATAATAGGGAAATATGGGATGCTTGCTGTTGCCAAGAAAAGACGAATTAAAAAGATAGTCAAAAAATGTGGGAGGAGGAAGGACGATGACATATTTTTAGAAGCGATCTCGTGTACATGAAAAAAGAATATCGTACACATGTTTATGATAGAAAAAAAAAGGAATATCTTAGTGGAACTTGCCTTTATGATGCATCCTTACTTACCGGGCTTAGCTAAGTTAGGCACAAGGCTATGAGTAATGGGTTCTGACAGCGATGATCGAACACGCTCGCCAGTAGTAATGTCCAACAATCATAGCTCGTTAACCATTACCTGACGACGAACCGCCAATATTTACTGACTTTACATTGCAAAAAATATGAGAGCACCCAATTTGAATTCAACTCAGGAATTAATGGCTAACCATTCTAGCTCCTTAACCATCACTAGACACCCATATACTCAGCATATATTTACTAAACTTAGTTTGTCACAAGTCCACAAAAAAGTGGCATCCAGTGGTGACTGAAATCACAACTCTGTACTAACGGTGAACCATACTCGCTCGTTAACCATTACCTGACGTTAAAGCGCCAAACATACATCTAATTAAGTTTGGCGCAAGGCCACAATTGTAGGTGCGCAGGGATATGACCACATGCAATGCTTGTTCAACTAGGCTCACTCATTAACCATTACCTGATTCTATCAAACATTTGTTAAACATAGTTTGGAAAAAGGCTATGGGAGCACACTGTGATAATTACATACTCTATTCGGAAGTAATGGGTAACCGGCCTAGCTCGTTAACCATTACTTGACGAAGAGACGATTATCAAATGTTTACCAAATTTAGTTTGGCACAGTGTCACAAATAAGGGAGCCCACAACGACGAGGGAATTTAGGTAGTAAAGTTTAAACTGTCTAGCTCGTCAACCATTACCTGACGCTAAAGCAGTCATGAAATATCTACTAAAATTAGATCGGTAAAATGCCACAATTATAGGGGCAGGTAAACATGATCACGTGCAATATTTGGTCAACTAGGTCGGCTCGTTAACCATTACCTTCACCTATCAAACATTTGTTAAACGTAGTTTGGAAAAAGGCTGTACATATGGGAGCCCACGGTGATGATTGCATACTTTATCCGGTAGCAGTTGTTAATTGGACTATCTTGTTAACCATCACTTGATGAAGACACGCTTGTCAAACAATCTAGCTCGTTAAACATTACCTAATGCTAAAGTGTCTGTAGAATAGTAATAATCTTAATTTAGTATAAAGCTACAATCACTTCTTGATAGTAAGGGTGTTGCAGACCCGGCAGCGTGCAGTGCTGGTTTATTACTAAGTGGCCTTGTGCCAGACACAACACTAAACTACCGAGTCTACAAGCAAAGTAAAAAAATAAAAATGTGTGAATGAACTACGAAGAAATGTGGTTAATCCACACGTGCATAAAATAAAATATATTAAGATAGCCGACACAGAATGACAGAAAAAGACAGGATTCAAACAAGAGTAATTTTTTTATTAAATGCAGGAAAAACAAGTAATTTGTCCCGTAGTAGGGATCAAGGAATATGTTCCGCGCCAAAATTAGAAAACAAGATGGCTAAAGGCGGGAAGAGTTCTTGAAGAAGAAGAAAGGTTCCAGATAAATCAATGTACATGATAATATACATACAAGAAAAAAATACTCACTGCGAGTTTTGTTAATGTGAGTGAAATGTTATGTATATATTTTTTTTCCTTTTTTTGTACTGGTTCAAAATCGATTTATGACGAGACCCAAAGTGGACGACGAATTAACATTTTGGATGTTTTGCATCGTCTCGGAGAAGGACTTTGAATGACGAGCCAAAAGGACGAGGAATTAATTATTTGGTGTTCGCATTGTCTCGTAGGAGGACTTTGAATGATGAGCCAAAAGGACGAGGAATTAATATTTGGTATTTGCATTGTAAGATATCCTCGTCTGTCAACCTTGCATATTGACATGGCTAAAAAATGAGTCTGCTCAGGTCAGAGTCTGGATCCCAACTGAACTTTTCTGAAACAACAGTTTGTCGTTGACGTCACAAATTTTTCGCGGCAAGATTTCAAAAATCTAATTTGCATAGCAGGTCGCTTGGTTGGTGACCAAAACAGTTACTACTGTATTAGACCGAAAGAGGGAGAAAGGGTGTCAAAACGCACGCGCGCGCCCGCGAGTGTGAAAGAAAAGGGAGGAAACTCGCGCGCGCGTAAAATGTCGTAGATGGAATAATACATTATTCCACACAGCCCTCCTCCTGGATCAAATGTCGCAGACATTTGACTAATAATAGTAGAATGTTTCAAATTTCTTTGGAAAGGTGACTTTTCGACCGGAGCTGGTATACTTAGTCGTGTCGAGAGAAACAGGTGTCTTGAAATTCTCCTGAACTTGCGGAGTTGATTGGGAAGTAGTATGAGACGACGGTTTCTCTATAAAGGCAGGTTTCAACCGATCTATTGAAACGTTGTCGGTGTGAATACCTTTTTGTATTTGGAAATATTTGTCCGCGCGTTTAAGAACGCGGTATGGGCCTGTGTAGGCCGGCGTAAGAGGCCGCTTAACAGAGTCGTTACGTACAAATACAAACTCGCAGTCCTTGAGCTGGTGCGGTAAATAGATATCACTCGGGCAGTGCCGCGGTGGTGTATAGCATAAGTTTGCCATTTTAAGGCGTAAGTCCTGAATAAAAAGAGGAAGAAACTGGTGGTGTGGTCACAGCTGGTGAAAAATATTGGCCAGGTAAAGATAACGAAGTACCAAATACAAGCTCTGCAGGGGAGCATTTCAAGTCATCCTTAAGAATATTTCTTAACGATAGAAGGATGAGGGTAATTCATCGACCCAATTATTATTCTCATGCTTCGTTGATAGCGAAGTTTTAAGGGTGCGATGGAATCGTTCCACCAGCCCATTAGCACAGGGGTGATACGCTGTAGTACGTATATGCTTTGCACCAAGGAGTTCAGTGAATTCCTGAAAAGACACGACTGGAACTGTGCTCCTCTATCTGTAGTAACCACTTTAGGAGTTCCAAAAATCGAAATCCAATCGCGTAAAATAGCTTTTGCGACAGTCACAGCAGTGGTATCTTTGACAGGGATGGCAGTAGGCCATCGGGAAAAACGATCCACTATAGTTAAAAGGTAGGAATAACCATGTCAGGTTGGTAGGGGCCCAACTAAGTCCAGGTGTATATTAGTAAAACGAGCATCAGGCTCGCTGAAAGTACCCACAGGAGATTTTGTGTGTCTATGCACCTTACACTTCTGACATTGTAAACATGTATTGACCCATTCGCGAATGTGAACGTTCATATTCGGCCAAACGAAACGGTCCGAAATTAACTTAACTGTGGCTCTTTTGCTAGGGTGTGAGAGTCCGTGTAGGTGGTCAAAAACCTGTCTACGAAGAGACGGAGGAACATAAGATCTTGGGGATTTGGATTTAACATCACAGTATAGGACCTTGTTACTAAAAGGAGCTGGACATTTCTGAAGTTCCAAAGAAGTGTCGGATAACACCTGCTTCAGAGATATGTCCGCTTTCTGTTCGTCGGCGATCAAGTCTTGACTGAGTGCATCAGTATGCACGCCGAACATCTCAGTACGAGATAGGGTATCGGCAACAGTGTTATCCGAACCCTTAATGTACCTAATATCAGTAGTAAATTGAGATATATAGTCCAGATATCTGATTTCCCTCGAAGTGTATTTGTCCGAATTGGTGGACATAATGGACGTTAAAGGTTTGTGGTCCGTAAAGATAACGAAGGACCTACCTTCGAGGAGGTGTCTGAAATGCTTAATAGCACGAAAAATAGCCAACAGTTCACGAGAAAAGGTACTGTAGCGTGACTGGGCAGGAGAAAGTTTAGCGGAAAAGAACGCTATAGGTCTACGTTGAGAAGGAGTGACTTGTTCAATGACCGCGCCTATTGCTGTTTCGCTAGCTTCAGTGGTCAGGTAGATATCCGATTGAGAGTCGTCCTCTAAGAAACTGAGCTTAGAAAAATTGCCTCGAGCGGTTTTAGCTGCTCGAAAGGCGTCCAAGGCTTCATTCTCAAGTATGATAGTTTTATTCTTCTTCTGTAATAAGTTGGTAAGGGGAGTCAATGTTAGAACAGTTCGGAATGAATCTCCGATAGAAGTTGATCATCCCTATAAAGCGTCTCAACTGTTTGATGGAAACAGGGACGGGAAACTCAGTGATAGCTTTAATCTTTTCAGTTATAGGGGCAATTCCATTTGCATCGACATGATGTCCTAAAAATTCTATATGGTCTGACCCGAAGACACATTTGTCCAGGTTTAGACGGAATCCGTAATGAGACAAACGTTGAAGAACTTCGTGTAGGTGTTGCTTATGCGAGGCAGCGTCCTCACTAGCTATCAGAATGTCGTCAATGTAATCGAAAACGAAGGGGAGTCCACGCAGAACTTCGTCCATAAGACGTTGGAAGGTCTGTGCTGCGTTGCAAAGGCCGAAAGGCATTTTTAAAAATTCAAATAAACCAAATGGTGTAGTAACAGCAGTTTTTGGGACATCAGCAGCAGCTACTGGCACCTGATAATATGCTTTAGCGAGATCTATTTTGGTAAAAATCTTTGCGCCTTGTAAACCAGAAGCGAAATCGTGGAGGTGGGGGATTGGATAATGATCCCGGACGGTAATGGAATTCAACCTTCTATAATCCACACAAATTCTATAGTCTTCCTTTCCTGGTTTAGGTACCAAAGGAAGAGGGGAAGCGTAGGGACTGTCGGACGGACGAATAACACCCTCTCGTAGCATGTCGTCGAAAGCTTTCTTTGCGAATTTTAATTTGTTAGGTGCTAGACGACGAGGACGGGAAAAAACAGGTTGACCAGTGGTCTTAATAAAGTGCTGTGTTTGATGTTTAGTTGAATCAATAGATCCAGCAGGACGCAGGAGGTCCTGGTACTGATTCAATAAGTCTAAGTACTCTTTATTGTGACACGTTGCCACGGTGATGCCAGTGGTGGTAAGTTTAGAGTAAGTGCCAAGAACACACAGTCTTGTTAAGTTGTCTGTTAGGGAATGATTGTTCATTCGAACGGCTAGATCATAGTGCGCCAGGAAATCGGCACCCAATATCGGCATCTGGACGTCAGCAACAGTAAAATTCCAGGTAAAGTCTCGTCGCATTCCTATGTTTAGGGTAAGGGACTTCGTACCGTAAGTATTAATACTGGAACCATTTGCTGCTTGTAGGCGGAGCTGGAAAGGTTGTTGACGTGCTTTATCACGCACGGGTAAGACACTAATGGCAGCGCCGGTGTCAACCAAAAAACGTAAATTATTACGTGTATCCGTCACATAGAAAAGGCGACTAAGCTTCGGTGAAGATGCCTTGCCAGCGAGATTAGTCGCTTTCACTCGCTGGCGGTTTTGTTTTCCGCGACCGCAGTATAGGTGCACGGTTTAGTACAGTGATGTGCTGCAGACCCAAATCAGCTGTGGTAATAACACATAGAAGTGGCATCCTTGTTCCGACTGGACGAGCGTGGTCGACTTCTGAAGCGCCGGCGGGAAGGGAGCCGGCTTCGACCATAGCTTTCTATAGCTAACGTTAAATCTCTAACTTGGCGCTGCAAATCCTCCACTGCTTTTCCCAAGGACTTGTCACTAGTTGTCATTCTGGCTATCGAATTTATGCACGTTTATATTTCAGCTTGCTCAGAATTATGTTGGCAAGGTTGCAAAATTATTGTGTGTTCAATTCACGTCTCGGGTCACCAAACTTGTTGCAGACCCGGCAGCATGCAGTGCTGGTTTATTACTAAGTGGCCTTGTGCCAGACACCACACTAAACTACCGAGTCTACAAGCAAAGTAAAAAAATAAAAATGTGTGAATGAACTACGAAGAAATGTGGTTAATCCACACGTGCATAAAATAAAATATATTAAGATAGCCGACACAGAATGACAAAAAAAGACAGGATTCAAACAAGAGTAATTTTTTTATTAAATGCAGGAAAAACAAGTAATTTGTCCCGTAGTAGGGATCAAGGAATATGTTCCGCGCCAAAATTAGAAAACAAGATGGCTAAAGGCGGGAAGAGTTCTTGAAGAAGAAGAAAGGTTCCAGATAAATCAATGTACATGATAATATACATACAAGAAAAAATACTCACTGCGAGTTTTTGTTAATGTGAGTGAAATGTTATGTATATATTTTTTTTTTCCTTTTTTTTTGTACTGGTTCAAAACCGATTTATGACGAGACCCAAAGTGGACGACGAATTAACATTTTGGATGTTTTGCATCGTCTCGGAGAAGGACTTTGAATGACGAGCCAAAAGGACGAGGAATTAATTATTTGGTGTTCGCATTGTCTCGTAGGAGGACTTTGAATGATGAGCCAAAAGGACGAGGAATTAATATTTGGTATTTGCATTGTAAGATATCCCTCGTCTGTCAACCTTGCATATTGACATGGCTAAAAAATGAGTCTGCTCAGGTCAGAGTCTGGATCCCAACTGAACTTTTCTGAAACAACAGTTTGTCGTTGACGTCACAAATTTTTCGCGGCAAGATTTCAAAAATCTAATTTGCATAGCAGGTCGCTTGGTTGGTGACCAAAACAGTTACTACTGTATTAGACCGAAAGAGGGAGAAAGGGGTGTCAAAACGCACGCGCGCGCCCGCGAGTGTGAAAGAAAAGGGAGGAAACTCGCGCGCGCGTAAAATGTCGTAGATGGAATAATACATTATTCCACAAGGGTAAAGTCGTCGGGCACGTTAGCCATTACCCCACTTTGGCAGCAGACTTATACTTCAGAGTTGTTATTTAATAAACCCAAATATAGTGTCACCTAGTGATGAACGAATTTACTATTCGAAAGAAATAACCACTGAAATATTTCGCTGAATCATATCCCAGGTTGATGCGGCCATACTTAATGCTGATTGTCGTTAAAGTCTGTCCGTCAGAATAAAAGGGACTCAGAAGTCTTGCTCAAAAGAATGAAGAGTCGTATTTGATTCAACAAAAATATTTACTACTACATCGATGTGGATTACAGTTAGATTCAAGCTTCGATACATTTCGGTGTCTGCATAAAAAAACATTCATATATATATAGCATGAAACAGACTGTCGCCTCTAAGTGTTGACTTCTATGTTCACTTTTATATTTATTTTATATTTACACACGCTCTATCTCTGATATTGAGCAGTTTATTCCATAAATATAGCACACCTTAAGACTATATTTCTTTATATATATATATATATACAAAAATATATATATATATATATATGTATATATATATATATATTCAGTAGGGTATATACATAAATAAATAAATAAATAAATATATATATATATATATATATATATATATATATATATACTGGGGTTGAATAAGACTGACGATGTTTTCGTAGGTTGTATTAGGTCTATTCTTCACAGGAAGTAATTTGGGATTTTTGTATAATATACACACATACACACACAAACATATATATATATATATATATATATATATATAATATTTTTTAGACAACATTATTTTCTGCTATATCAACAGTTATTTTTGTGGATATCCCTTTTTGCAGAGACGATAATGTGTGTCTTAGGTCTGTCCCATAACAAGTGTTATTTTGAAGACACATTTTATACTCTAGAATGTAACATGTATTATGGGACAGAGGACGTGGCGAACAAATAACATTTTTTAAAAATACATATGAAAACAATTATTAAATGTGTTGTGGAAAAATGTATACACAAGGACACATGGCAGATTGGATAAAGGCGTTGGTTAGATCAAGTGGGAGGACATAAAGAGTGTGAGTTCAATACTTGGTTAAGGCGGTTGAAAACTTGGAGAGGGTAATTAGCAGGAGATAACCGATGACTGACATCTATTAAACATGGCACGTGGAACTAGAACAGTCTACACCATTGAACGAAATAAAGGGTTCAGTTCCACACCTGAAAAAGTCCGGAGCGTACAACGGCCAAATCGTTGTAATAAATATGGCGACAAAGATGAGGACAATAGTACGAATAATGTAAATAGTGTACATAATAACTCATATCAGAAATATAGACATATACTGAAGAAGACCGGAGTCTACAACGGTCGAAACGTTGTAATAAATATGGTGACAAAGATGAGGAAAATAGTCCGAAAAATGTAAATAGTGTACATAATACCTCATCTCAGAATTATAGACAGATACTGAAAGGCAGAAACGTTGTAATAAATATGGCGACAAAGATGAGGACAATAGTACGAAGAATGTAAATAGTGTACATAATACCTCATCTCAGAAATATAGACAGATACTGAAAGGCAGAAACGTTGTAATAAATATGGCGACAAAGATGAGGACAATAGTACGAAGAATGTAAATAGTGTACATAATACCTCATCTCAGAAATATAGACAGATACTGAAAGGCAGAAACGTTGTAATAAATATGGCGACAAAGATGAGGACAATAGTACGAACAATGTAAATAATGTACATAATAACTTATCTCAGAAATATAGACAGATACTGAAGAAAGCCGGAGCGTACAACGGTCGAAACGTTGTAATAAATATGGCGACAAACATGAGGACAATATTTATTTGTGTACATCGACTGTACATATTAATTATTACTTGTACCATATTAATTAATGCATTTACGAAATGTAAATAGAGAATATTATAATTGAATGCATTTAATTCATTTTAATAACTTTATGCAATTGATTGATATCTATTTATTGCACAATTTATAACATTAACAGAAATTCTTTAATCATGTAACCACAAGTAAGGCGACAATGTCACTAAGATGCGAGGACGTTACTGGGAATGGAAAAGAAAGAAAAGACTTTAAGAGAAGGAGAGGGAACCTCAATCCTAAACAGAAAACAATGGATAAGCATATACTTTTGTTCAAAAGACAATGAGGAGTGTAAACCAGACGATAAATGAAACTATAAGAGAAAAATATATGTTAGAAATTCCCGTATATATTTTCTAGACATAGGACTGGCAGTAGATACCAAATGTAAATACAAAAGATTATAATTTAGTTATTATTGTTTTGTTGTTTTTTTTTTTAATTTCAAGTACTTGATTGATATTTTTAAACAGTATTTTGCACAATTTACTCATTAACTTGTAGGTCAATAGTACAATAAAGCGTTGCCCGCAATCGAATTAAGAGGAATCGCTCGTGTTCACTCGAAATATTTTTCAAATTTGTCAGTAGTTGGTACTGCATTTAATTCATCCGACGATACATTTTCGACAGATGACATGCATGATTACAAATTCTGCTCAACCAGCGAACAACTTAACCTTATTTTTATGGTGTTTTTCTAAGCGCAGCTTAGACGTGGCACAAGGCCGAAAGTATGGAACACTTAGGGTGGATCGTGTTCACTGCTCAGTCGTAATTGATCCAGCGAGACAAGCTTGCTAACGATTACACCACAACGAGGTGAGCAAAATGATTTTCTAAACGCAGCTGAAATGTCGCACAGGGCCTAATGTATTGGGCACCCAGTGAGGATCGAACTCACTACTCAGTCGTAATTGTTCTAGCAAGAAAAGCTTGCTAATGATTACGCCACGTCGAGGTGCACATGTTGTTAGAAAAATGTTATATCGGTCACTCTTAATTCTTGAAGGAAAAGAAGAAGGGATTTTTAAATATTAGACGTGGCACATGGCCGAAAGTACGGAGCAGTCAGTGAGGATCAAACTCAATGCTCAGTCATAATTGATCTAGCCAAACAAGCTTGCTAACATTTACGCCAAAACGAGGTGCTAAAAATAATTTTCTAAGCGGTGCTTACACGTGACACAGGGCCGAAAGTGTGGAGCACTCAGTGAGGATCGTGCTCACTGCTTGTTAACCATTACACCTTGTGGAATGGCTCCTTAAACTTCTCTTTACGATCGTTAGCTTTGAAAATATCCTCTTATATTGGAGTTGCGTAACACATATTATACAAATGACTCTATAAAGATCTTATTCCTTTTTATTGCTAAAACAGTCACCGGGGTTTGATTTTTATTTGATATAGGGGGCCTACTCCACCGGGATTTCATTTGACCGGGCAAGCTGACACCCTGTCCAGTCCGCGACTGGACAGATTCAGCACGATTTGGGACTGCAGATATTCACAAATGTTACCCTGTCACAGAGTGCTGTAAACACAACTTTAGAACTGCTCTATCAGACGGCTTGTTAACCAATACCCTAGCCCGAAATTTACCAGAAACAGCCTCCTATGATCCAAGCTAGCAATAAAGAGTGCATTTTGGCAACAGTTTTTTTAATGATACAATTTTATTGATAGGATCCACGAAAGACCATTGTTAAAGAATTGTATTACCATTTTCCGCTTTTCAGCGTAAAAGATTCGCCTCGGGATTGAGATTTTATGATTATTGTCCAATTTCTGAGCATCTCAACATCCATAAGCCATCGTCAAAGAAATATTTTCCATTCGATTAAATTGCTTTGGATATTTAAATTCATTTGCTGTTAAATTTCAAAGAACATGTTATAAAGCATTAATTTGCGTAGCATCT